TGTTGTTGTTGTTATTATTATACTAGTTTATTTACAAAATTTGAATGCTGCCAACCCAAAGTCAGGTAGTTCAAATCCCCCAGCTGCTCCACAGGAGAAAAATAGGTGACAGTCTCCTCTCGTGCAATTTACAACCTCTGAAAACCCACTGGAGGGTCAACTATGAGTCAACTTTGACTCGATGACAAAGAGTAGAGTAGTAGTAACCTAGGAAATGAATGCAAGTCCCAAATTGTGAAGAATTCAAATATGTGTCTATAGTGAAATGGACACCCAGTGGAAAGTTGTACAGCAGTGAGAGTGAAAAAATAAGCCTCTCACCACCAGCATAGATGAAATGCATGAACCTATTAGTGAGTAAAATAAGCCACAAAGGATTATGGTTTTACTTGAAGTTCAAAGCCAAACTAATCTCTAGTGTTAAAATAGCACTTGATATCCTTGGGAAATAAGATAGTGACTAGAAGGAGATTCCAAGGAGCTTCTGGAGGTCTGGTCATGTTTCTTGATCAGGTTGCTGGTTACATCGCTGTAGTCACTTTTGTGAAATTCAACATTTAGGATGTGTGCACTTTGCTATGTGTATTTTCTTTGAAATTTACCTTTTTAAAAAATTTTTTTTTTTAATTTGGTGTACTGTCGAATTGGATCCGACTGGCACAGGAGGAGTTTTTCCCTCCTTCTCCAGTGGAGAATCTGGGGAAATTTGCCTTTTTAAAAATCTTATAAAATAAATACGAAGCTGCAACAAATAAGTATATAACCTTTAGAGATACTTGAAGAAGCTTGTGTAATTTCAGATTCTTCAGTTAAGTGGTTTTTGTTGTTGTTGTTGTTGTTGTTGTTGTTATATGCCTTCGAGTCACCTGCAACCCACAGTGACCCTATGTACAGCACTTCTGAAACCTGTCCTATCCTGAGCCAGTCTCACTGATTCCAACACACCAACCCCCATTGCCCCAATAACTGTATCAAGCCATCTCATCCAGAGACTTCCTCTCCTGTGCTGTTCCTTCCCCTCTTCCAAGCATGATGTCCTTCCCCAAGGGCCAGTCTCCCCTGGCCATATACCCAAAGTATAAGATGGAGCTTCACCATCCCAGCTTCCAAGGAGAAACTTGGTTTTACCTTCTCCAAGACAGACCTGTTTGTTTTCTTGGAAGCCCATGATATGTTCAAGACTCTTCTCCAGCACCACAGTTAGAAGGCTTCAGTTCTTCTTCTGTCATCCTTAGTCATTGTCCAGCTCTCTTATGCATAGGAATTAATTTTGAAGACCATGAATGACCTGGATCAGGTGCACCTTAGTCTCTAGTCTAGCATCATTCTTCTCAGTACTCTGGAGAGGTCCTTGACAGAAAATTTTCCCAGTGCAATTTGTCTTTTAATTTCTTGACTGCTGGTGCTGAGTGTTGATTGTGGAGCTGAGCAAGCTGTAATTGTTAACTACCTCACTTCTCTTCTCCATCTATCATGGTGCTGCCAGTTGGCCCAGTGGTGAGAATCTTTGTCTTTTTTATGTTGAGCTTCAATCCATATTGAAGACTACACTTCTTGACCTTCTGCAGCAAATGCTTCAAATCCTCTTCAGTTTGAGCAAGCAAGGTTATGTCATCTGCATAATGTAGGTTGTTGATGAGTCTTCCTCCAATCCTGATGCCACATTCCTCCTCATAAAGCCCTGTTTCCCAAATAATCTGTTCTGCATATAGATTGACAAGGTATGGAGACAGGACACATCCCTGACACACTCCTTTTCTGATTTTGAACCACGCTATGTGCTGAGGACTGCTTTCTGGTCCAACTGTAGGTTTTGCATAAGCACAATAAAGTGTTCTAGGATTCCCATTCTCCTCAAGGTTAGTCACAATTTGTTGTGATCCACACAGTAAAATGTCTTTGCATAGTCAGTGAAACACAGATAAATATTCCTCTGGTATTCTTTGTTTTCTGTCAAGATCCATCTGACATTGGCAGTAATGTCTTTAGTGCCACAACCTCTTTTTTTTTTTTTTTTTTTGCCACAACCTCTTCTAACCCAGCTTGTTATCTCTGGGAGTTCTCGGTCAGTGTACTGTTCCAGTTGTTTCTGTGTGATATTAGTGTTCAGTAATTCTCACACTCTGTCGGGTCACTTTTTTTTGGAATGGGAATAAATATGGAGGGAGGAAAAGAATTAAGGGCACAATTTCAACAGGTGTCTTGATAGCCCACTTTTTCTCTCTCAGTGCTCTAAGACTTTTAAAGCTATTGAAATTGACACATTGGTAAGTAAAACTGAGTTTCTTCATCCTTGTAAGGTTTTCTTTTCCTAAATTCACTAGGAAAGTGAACTTAAGCAGCTTGTATTGTCTGTTACTGGACTGACCTCTTTCAAGACAGGGCCTTCAATTCTCTTGTTTAAATGGTTGCCCTCTTCCCTTTTACCAATACAGTTCACCAGTTTTTGCATGCATTTGGTCTAGCCCACAGTTTGTTCATTTCATGGATTTTCTTTTTTCTTGTTTTCAGGGGACTATGAAAGGCTTATATTTTCAACAGAATTCTACAAATGAAGAAATCACATTTGTATTTCAAGAAAGGGTAAGAAAGGTGGTTTAATCATTAGCTGAGAGAAGATAGTATTTTTTTATATTCTATTATTTTCTGTTTTAGATGATCTGCTGTAGGTTATTTTGAATGGAGTTAAATGAATAAAAATTATTTCATGAAACTCCTCCAATTATTTTGCCTTAAAGATTATGTGAAAATATGGACCTGTATTGTACTAGAAATACTAAATAGTCCTTTTCTTTTGGTCATGTGTTGCAAAATTAACCCGTTTTGAATGTGATAAAATGAGTTTTCAAATTACAGTCATATTTCAGAAAATACTTTATCCTGTATTGTGAAATGAAAGAAGTGGGAATGCATTGTTTTCTACACTGATTGCTGAGCTTTACAAAATTACCTCATTCACTAAGCTATCAATGATCTCTAGTGTTTTGACTAGGGAACTCTAGTGGTTTAGTGGTAAGAAATTGCCCTGCCAACACACAGGTACACAGTTTGAATCCATCAGCTGTTCAATGGAAGAAAAATGAATGGGTAATCTCTTCTCATGTGATTTATTGCCTCTGAAAACCCACAAGAGAATTAATTGTGGGTTGGTTATCACTCAGCAGTACAAACCAACAAACAACAACTGTTTTGACTATCTTTATTATATACTTTTAATTGATACTATAATTTTTATAGCAATTCAAAATAATCCCACTGTAAATCTGCAAAGAAATGGAAATGTTATATCTCCATAATTATATAGATATAATAATAATTCTTGCATCTTAAGCACAGTCTATTTTTCTTTGGTGTTTTTTTATTTTTTTTCACAAACTTCATAATCATTTTGGGTCAGAAGTGTGAATCTGAATCTCGGACAGTTTGACTTCTGCTGGAATACCCAGGAATAGAGTACAAGAGATTTTGTTAACTTTCAGAAAAAAATTATTTCCAAGTTCACAAAATCATGACTGAAATTCACAAATTCATAAGTATTACTGAATATATCCATGATATCACCCAGTGTTTTTAAATCTGAAATTTAAAATGCTAACACCAGAATATTGTGTTCATGGAAAATAAAGCACATTAATTGGACAAAATATAACCCCTTTGACAGAAACAGGAGGAACTATGTAAGTAGCTCTTCTTGGTAGTAGTAAAAAGTTGCACTGCTAACCCAAAGGCACACAGTTCAAGTCTACCAACAGCTCCTGGGAGAAAGATGGACAGTCTCTTCTCATATGATTTACTACCTCTGAAAACCCACTGGAGGCTTTTCACTGGTTCTGATTTAGTAGTAGACAGCACGATTAGGATCTGTTGTTCATTAGATTGCTCTGAGTCGTAGTCAACTCTACAGCACATAACAACAAACAACATGAGAGCCTGAAGAAAGTGTGTTTTTGGTGCTTCCAGTTTATGGTTAGTTAGACAAGGATATTTAGTAAAATGGATTCCTAGTGGAGGAGTAGGTTAAGTGTTAGACTGATAATTGAAAAGTTGGCAGTTTGCTGCTACCAGCTGCCCTTCAGGAGACAGATAAAGCAGTCTCCTCACATCAAAATGTATAGCCTTGAAAACCCAGTGAAAGGTTACCGTGAATCTGAAGCAAGTCAACGGTAATGGGTAATGTGGGTATATGCTGTAGGGTATTTTTTGTCTTTCAAGTTGTATATATTTGTGGAATAAATCAAAACCCATTGCTGTTGAGTTAGAGCCATTTCATAGCTCATTAGGTTTCTAAGGCTGTATATTGCACAGGAGGTGACCATCTTTCTCCCAAGGAGTCAGTGGTGGATCACACTGCCAGAAAGATGCTGACTTTGGGTTAGCAGCTCAGCTCCCTATGGACAAGGCCACCCAGAGCACCCTCCCTGTGATCTAGGACAGGAAATTAAGTTCATTTTATAGTTTAACCCCAGAATCCCATGGGACATGCTGAAATACCAAGATAGATGTTCAATGAGAAAGAAAAGAAACAAGTGATACTAAAGAACTGAGGCTGACTTAATTGTCTGGTGTTGCTGTAAAAGAGATCCAAGGCTTTCACAAACAGCAATTTAAGATGCTAAATATCCCTATCCAGGAGAGTAAGTCTAGCAGAAGGCTCACCCTCTGTTGTGAAGGCAAGTCCGGCTTTCCTGTAATTCTGTAGGCCAGTTGTTCCTTGTAGATTTCTATATGTCTGTCCTGGCCTTCCCAGGTGACAGGAAGCTTCCTCACCCAGGCACCCAGACCAAAAAAGATTCTCTCCATTCCTGGAGGTTCTTCCTTGATGTTACTGAGAGTCCCCCTTTCTTGGCTCACTTTCTTCCTTTTTATCTCTAGTGAGATAAAAGGTATCATAGATCACACACTAGGAAAATGCCCAGACTTCTTTATATCAGGGCTGTGATGGAATTAAGGGATATTGCTTCCTGCCCCTCCTTAATCCTTTTACAACTGTTTCATTAGATCATGGGATATCTTTACTTAGTTTCCATATCATCATTGTCATTGTTGCTATTGTTATATGCCATCAACTACAACTCACAGAGACCCTATGAACCTTGCCCTATCCTGAGCCATTTCCAACACACAATAGTAATTCTATTGCCATAGTCATTGTGGCAGTCCATGACATTCAGAGTCTACCTCCCCTCTACTGACCCTCTACCCTTCTGAGGATGATGTCCTTCTCCAAGGACTGGTCCTTCCTAGCAACATGCCCAAAGTATATGAGATAGAGGATCAAAATTCTAGCCTCCAAGGAGCAGCTTACTTTCACCCTCTCAAGGTCAGACCTGTTCTCTTGGCAGTCCATAGTATGTTCAATACTCTTCTCTTGCACCACAACTCAAAATCATCAGTTCCTCTTCTGTCATCCTTCGTCATTGTCCAGCTCTCAGATACATAGCAAGCAATTGAGAAGACCATGGCCTGGATCAAGCACACCACAGTCTCTAGACTGACATCATTGCTCTTTGGCACTCTGGAAAGGTCCTTGACAGCAGATTTCTCCCAGTGCACCTTGTCTTTTGATTTCCTGACTGTTGGTGCCAAGAGTATTGATTGTGGATCTGAGCAAGATGAAATCGTTAACAACTTCAATCTTTTCTCCATCTCCATGTTTCATCTATCTCCTATTGGCCCAGTCATGAAGGTCTTTGCTTTCTTGATGGTGAGCTTCAGTCCATATTGAAGGCTGCAGTCCTTAACCTTCTGCAGCAAATGCTTCATTTCACCTCACTTTCAGCAAGCAAGGTTGTCATCTGCATAAAACAGGTTATTGATGAGTCTCCCTTCAATCCTGTTGCCACATTCTTCTTCATGAAGTCCAGCCTCCCAGATGACCTATTCAGCATATAGATTGAAAAGATATGGAGAAAGGATAATGTTACATAAATGTTTTTGAGGGGACACAATTTAATGTCTGCCAACAGCACTCAGAAAATTCTAGCATATACTATATGTGTTTATTTATGTATATACCTGAAAGTGTGTATCTGATGCTTTGAGATTACTTAGGTTAAAGTAAAATGCAGTACTCTTCTTTGTGATCCAAAGTTTATTGTCTACAGGTATATTCGTTTCAAAATATATACCTAATTTTTTTAACTCAGAATTTTCTTTTTTTTTTATTATGTTTGTTGGCTCTGTTATTTTCCATCAGATTGGTTCCACTCATTGAAAGCCTTTATGTTATAACAAAGGGAAATATTGCCTAACCTTGGCCATCCTTATAATCATTGCTACATTAGAGTTTTATTGTTGCATTTACTGTGTCACTCTATATCATTGAGACTTTCGACTTTTTTGCATTGTCCCTTTACCAACCATTACAATCAAAGCTTCTCTGTTCTCACTTCTAAGGAACATTCTGATGGTATTTCTTCTGAGGCTGATTTGTTCATTCTTTTAGTAGTCCATGGTACTCTAGGAGGTTTTTAAAATTTCACTTTCTTCTGTTCCAATTTTGTGAACAACTTACTTTAGCACCTGTTTTCCTTAACAAAAAGAAATCCAAAGATGATTTTTGCTCTTACTTTAAAAAAAAGAAAAGGTAAGAAATGAGACTAGCACTCAGTGTTTGTTTTGTAGTGAGCTGTTAGGGACATGCTACAGACTACCAGCCGTAAGTGGCACTGTCAGGTTCCTCTCAGGAACTTCACTCAGTGTCAAACCACCATAGTTTTCAACATGCCTGTGAGCACCATCATGTTGTTGTCATTGTTAGGTGCCTTGGAGTAGACTACATCTCATAGTGACCCTATCCATAATGCATCTGAATCTCGCCCTGTGTTGTACCATCCTTACAGTCTCTAAGGTGGTTGAGCCCATGATTTCAGTCACTGTGTCAATCCACTGACCCTTGAGATTCTTCCTCTGTTTCTCTGACCCTCCACCTTTCCCAGCATGATATCTTTTGCCAAGGACTGGTCCCTCCTCGCAGCATGCCCAAAGTATGTGAGATGAGATTTTACCAATCCTTACTTCTAAGGAACACCTTGATTCCACTTTTTCCAAGACAAGACTTGTTTGTTCTTTTGGCAGTCCATGGAACATTCCATACCCTTCTCTAACCCCACAATTCAAAGACGTCAATTCTTCTGTCATCCTCTTTCAGAGTCCAACTTTCAGATGAATAGAAAGCAATTGGAAATACTGTGGCTTGCATCAGGCACACCTTGGTCTTTAAATTGATGTGCTTTCTCAGCAACACTTTGGAGAGGTTCTTCACAGCAGATTTCCCCAGTGCAGCACATCTTTTGATTTATTGACTACTGTTGACATAGGTGTTGATTCAAGTAAGATGAAACTATTGACAACTTCAGTCTTTTTCCCCAGGTATCATAATATTGCCTGTCATCCAGTGGTGAGGATTTTTGTCTTCATCACTGGGCCAATTGGCAGCACCATGATAGATGGAGAAGAGATTGAGGTTGTTAACAATTTCAGCTTGCTCGGCTCCATGATCAACACTCTTGGCACCAGCGGTCAGGAAATCAAAAGATAAATACTATTGGGGAAGTCTATTGTCAGGGACTCTTCCAGAGTACTGACAAGCAACAGAGTCCATCTAGAGACTAAAGTGTGGCTGGTCTAAGCCATGGTCTTCATAATTACTTGCTATGAATCAGAGAACTGGATATTGACTCAATACTTTTGAGTTATATTACTGGACATACCATGGACCACAAGGAGAACAAAGAGGTCTGTCTTGAAGAGGATGAAACCATGTTGCTCCTAAGAGGCAAAGGGTTTTGAAGCTCCATCTCACATACTTCAGGCCAGGAGAGACCAGTCCTTAGAGAAGGACATCATGCTCAGAGGGGTGGAGTGATGACATAGGAGAGGAAGACCCCAGGTGAGATGGATTGACACAGTAACTGGTGTGTCAGAGTCAGAGAGACTGGCTCAGGACAGGGCAGGCTTCAGAGCTATTGTACATAGGGGTCGCTGTGAGTCACAGGTGACTCAGTGGCACATAAACAACAGCAACAACAGTGTTGAGATGTAATTCATATTGAAGATGTAATTCATATCATAGTCTTTGATCTTCTGCAAGCAAGGCTAAAGTTATCTGCATAACTCAGATTGTTAATGAGTCAACCTCCAATCCTGATGCTACATTCTTCTTCATGTAGTCCAGCTTCTTGAGTTATTTCATCCATATATGATTAAATAGGTATAGAGAAAAGACAGAGACAATAAGATTAACACGGGGTTTAGAGAGAAGTAACACTTCTCCAGATTTTGAGCCATCCAGTGTTTTCTTGTTCTATTTGGACAACTGCTTCTTGTTCTGTATATAGTTTCTGCAGTTAAGTGTCTGGGATTCCTATTCTTTTCAGTATTATCCATTATTTGTTATTTCATGTGATTCACACACATGTTCATATGTGAACACTATTTGGTAATGTTATTTTAGCTTTTATTAGTTACTTGATATGATTTAGTAGGTTCTATTTTGGGTGTGAGAACACGATTTTTTTCACGTATAAATGAATGGAAATTACTTCTGTGCTTTATGCCATTTCAGCTCACAAAAGGTTTCATACAGACACTGCACTTTTTACCAAGGGAAACCTGTATATCAGTTGTTGTTGTTGTTGTTGTTATATGCCATCGAGTAGCTTGTGACTCATAGCGACCCTATGTACAACATCCCTAAACTCTGCTTTGTCCTGTACCAATTGCACCGTCTCTGACATACCCATCCCAATTATCCCAGTCACTGAATCAATCCACCTTATAGGGGGCCTTCCTCTTCTGCACTGTCCCTCCACCCTACCAAGCATGATGTCCCTCTCCAAGGACCTGTCCCTCCTTGCAACATGTCCAAAGTATGTTAGACGGAGCCTTAGAATCCTTGCCTCCAAGGAGCAGCCCAGTTTGACCCTTTCCAGGATGAATCTGTTTGTTTTCCTAGCAGTCCATGGTACCCTCAATACTCTCCTCCAGCACCGCAGCTCAAAGGCATCAATTCTCTTTCTATCCTCCTTAGTCATTGTCCAACTCTCTGATGCGTAACAAGTGATAGCAAAGACCATGGCCTGTATCAGGTGCACCTTAGTCTCCAAAGAGACACCATTGCTCTTCAGTACTTTGGAGAGGTCCCTAACTGCAGACTTTCCCATGGCAATACATCTTCTAATTTCCTGGATGCTGGTGCCGAGAGTGTTGACTGTGGAGCCAAGCAAACTAAAGCTGTGAACAATCTTAATCTCTTCACCATCCATCCTGATGCTGCCAGTTGGCCCAGTGGTGAGAATCTTTGTCTTCTTGACATTGAGCCTCAATCCATATTGGAGGCTGCAGTCCTTGACCCTCTGCAGCAAGTGCTTCAGGGCCTCCTCAGTTTCAGCAAGCAGGGTTGTATCATCTGCATATCGCAGATTGTTGATAAATGGTCCACCAATCTTGATCCCACATTTCTCCTCATAGAGCCCAGCCTCCCGGATAATCTGTTCTGCATACAAGTTGAAAAGGTATGGAGACAGGACACATCCCTGGTGTTTGTCCTTCCCAATTTTGAACCATGCAGTGTTCCCTTGCTCTGTTCTGATGACTGCCTCTTGGTCCAAGTATAGGTTTCTCATTAGCATGATCAATTGTTTTGGGATTCCCATTCTTCTCAGAGTCAGCCATAGTTTGTTATGATCCACACAGTCAAACACCTTTGCATAGTCAATGAAACACAGATAAACATTCCTCTGGTACTCCCTGCTTCCAACTAAGATCCATCTAACATTAGCTACAATATCCCTAGTACCACGACCTCTTATAAACCCAGCCTGGACTTCTGGCAGTTCTCTGCTTATGTGTTGTTCCAGTCGTTTTTGGATAATCTTCAGTAGAATTTTGCTTGCATGTGAAATCAGTGAGATTGTTCTATAGTTTCCACACTCTGTTGCGTCACCCTTCTTTGGGATGGGAACAGTACAGATCTCTTCCAGTCAGTTGGCCAGGTGGTTGTTCTCCAGTAGTCTTCAAAAATTATTTGTAGGTTTTACATTAAAATTATCTATAAGATTTCAGTGCTGTTACATTTTGTCTAATCATGTGTGAAATTTTCACAGTATTAAGGTTCTAAAAAAAATTTGTAACCATTATTGTGTTGTTATTTGATCTTAGGAAAACCTTCCTGTTACAGAAGACAATTTTGTGAAACTTCAAGTTAAAGCTTGTGCTCTGAGCCAGATAAACACAAAGGTATTTGGTGCATTTGTTTTCGACAAAAGTTAAATGACTGTTTCATATTATGTTTAGTGTATATATACATTTTAATGATGACTGACTACCGACTAACACGAAGAAAATAGCATCCTTAGAAGAAGAGACTGCTGGGATGGGGCAGAGGACCATGGAAAATCGATATACATTGGTGTAGTATTCTTTTCTTAAGACAAAGTATAGGCTAGTTAAAATTAAGTCCTGTTGAAATAATGTAGATTTTTTATCATTATATTAAAGTTTTTTATAAAGCCCTACTTCATGGCAATAAGTTATAATCAAGAAAAAAAATTACCTTAAGAAATATAATTGAGAAAGGAATTAGAAATATAATTTATTGTAATCATCACTTCTATAGATATTTTTATTTAATGGCTATAGATATGGTTTATGTCACTCTGCTGGTCATCTCTTCCTCTGTTCTCTGCCTAACTGTATAGTAGTCTTTCATTATGTGAAATGCGTGGAAAGTCTCTGGATGTTAAAGAATCTAAGATTAATGTCCCATGATGAACAGAGCAGGTCCATTTACTCTTGTTTTTAAAAGATTAATACCAAGGGATCTCTGGTGGCCTAGTGGCAAGAAGCTGCACTACAATCCCAGAGGCACGCAGTTCAAATCCACCAGATGCTTTGCTGGAGAAGGAGGGATAATCTCCTCCTGTACCAGTTAGATCTGATTTGACGGTACACGCACACAAAATAATAAGATAAAATTAAAAAAAAAAAAGATTAATACCATTGTTGACTGGGCCTTTCATATATTGATTATAAAGTTACCGTATACCATGAACTGTTAAGAGAATGAACAGGTTCCTCCTGGAGAGGATTAAGTCGGGCTGCTCCTTGGAGGCAAGGATTCTGAAGCTTCGTCTGATATACTTTGGACATGTTGCAAAGAGGGACCAGTCCTTGGAGAGAGACATCATGCTTGGGAGGGTGGAGGAACAGTGCAGGGGAGGAAGACCCTCGATGAGATGAATTGATCAGTGACTGGGGTAGTGGGGATAGGTGTGTCAGAAACAATAAGTTTGGCTCAGGATAGAGCAGGGTTTAGTGCTGTTGTGCATAGGGTCGCTATGAGTCACAGGCAACTCAGCGGCACATAACAACAACATAACTTTTAAGAATTTGAAAGATTGGTTTGTTGGGGTTTTGTAAAGTCACATTAAGAGGAATTACAGAACCAGCTTGTAGCCTTCTGTTGGGCAGCATTAGACCCTGAGTGCAATCTGGGAAGTGAATTCATGAAATCTCCTGAGGCCTTCTCACCCAGAAAGCAAGCATTGGTCTCTGTCTTCAAAGTCTGTGTTCAGTCCTTCCGTGATGTTCTTTTTAAAACTATGAAAAATGCATTAAAATTCCAATGCAATAAGTAAATCTTCATGTCTAATTGAAGGAAATGGTAAAATCCATTTAATGAAATACTGTATAACTATTAATAATCATGAAAACTAGTTAGTAAAATAAGGAAAGATTAGTAGTAAGTAAAAGAAGCAAGGCACAGTTATTAAAGCCACGATTATAATTCTCTAAATGTGTGTATAGATTAAGTAATATAAAATACCCAATAATTATAAAAGAGTGTCATATAAACATCTTAGGAAAAATATCAAGTTCTATACTGAAAAAGATTTTTTCTGACCAATAGACGTGGAAAACCAAAAATTGAAATTTAAAGGAAATATTCAAAATAATTCTTTTTCTTTGTTGTTGCTGTACTTGCTGCCAAGTTCCCTACAACTCAGCAACTCTATGAACAGCAGCCTTACCCTACACTGTACTATGCCCATATTCTCACCCTGTGGACCTTAACCCTCGCTTGACCATCCGCATATTCTCACCCTGTGGACCTTACTACACTCGACCATCCCCATATTCTCAGTCATGCTCACACCCACTGTGGTAATCACTGTGTCAGTCCCTCTTGTTGAAGGTCTTACTCCCTTTCGCTAACCCTGTTTTTACTTAACTATTCTTAAAATAAGGGAATCTGAAAAAAAATAAAAAATAAGGGAATCTGGTGGCTTAGTGGTAAGATTTTGCACTGCCAACACAAAGGCTTGCGGTTTAAATCCACCAGTTAATCCAAAAGAGAAAGATGGGCAGTTTCCTGTCATGCAGTTTACTGCCTCTGAAAACTTGCTGGAAGGTCAGCTATTATTCAGTTCCATAACAGTTCCGTAACAGTTGTATAGCACCAACCAAAACAGATTTACAAAACAAAATGAAATTTATAAATGTATCAGCACGTCTAGTGTCGTAATTTAAGTGTACATGACAGTAACTTAAACTAGTCTTATCTAAAGATATTTCATCACTTTAAAAGAAATTAGAATTAATAAAGTCAAAATTAGCAAAAGATTAGTTTCTTAAATAATTTATTCTTTTTTTTAAAAAAAAAAGAAACTTCAGTCACAAGAGCCTAGAATAATGCAGCAATTTCTCTATGTATGTCTCTCAATTCTACCCCCTGCCCACAACCCCCAAATCAAGTGATTTTAAAGGGAAATGAACTTTTGCTCTTCTTAGGTACATCTTCATTATTCAACATCTTCTTCAAACACCCTAACCCCACTTGACCTAGTTGACTGGTAAACAGTTTTTGCCCACAAGAAATCTTTTAGCCCTAATTTCCCATCACACTTAACAGACTAAAAGTATATTAATGGTGATTTGAATAATCAATCTTGAATAATGATATTCTTTCATGGACAACATCCATGGGTAACATTCAACTATAGATACGTATTTTCTTGGTCCTATAAGTCATAATAGAATTAAAAAATTCTCATCAGGGAACAGTACTATCAGATTTAACCAGAGGCAGTGGACATAACTAGACATAGCAAACCCAGCAGCTTCCCACATAGAGAGCATGTGTTTCATGTGTCTTGTATACAGAGTTATAGCACTGTTTTATGACGCAATGCCGTATATATAATACATATGTTAAAAGAAAAAAATGTATATACACACACACATTGTTTTGTACTGTTAAATCAGAACCAAACCATAGCTGACCCTCCGGCAGGTTTTCAGAGATGCTAAATTGCATGGGGGAAGGTTGCCCATTTTTCTCCCAGAGAGTAGCCTGGGACTTTGCCATACTTACAAATTAAAAACAGTGTATGCTTCTGCTAAGAGTTAGCAGCATCCAATCTTATGTATTACTTACCTCTTTGGTGTGGAAGCATTATATCAGTTTCATTTTCTTTTTAAAAGTGCATCATGACTCCCAAACACAGCAAAACCAGTGCTAGTCATAGTAACAAGAAGAAAGTGAGTCAGGTTATTAAACAGCACAAAGATGAAAAATCAGTCAGTGCCATTTCTTGTGATTAAGCATATGTATTTACCAGGTATATGATTTTATGTTTGCACAACATCCAAATCGTATAACATCATATTTCACAGAATGTATCATGGGCATTAAGTGACACATATCTGTATAGTAACTAGTTCTTCAGCAAACTGTTTCCTGTACTCCACAGAAACCTGTTTATTTACTTTGTCTTAAAATCATAATAACTCTGAATCCCAAAAATTGAGTATTACTGTAATGTGATTTTTACACTGTATTTTACCGTGTATAAGAAGCTACAGTTTCATTTTTTTTATTAATTTTAATGAAAGTTTAGAGAGACTTAGGATTTCCATTCATTCATTGTTGCACTTTTCTCCCTGCCCACCTCCCCCCATTTTTTCTTTTTGAAAAGTGAAATTCTTTCATTGTTAAACAATCCTTCCCCCCAAGTCCACTCCACTGTGCAGCCTTTGTTGTGAACTCCTGTTATGACAATAATACTTAATCATATATCCCTTTTAAACAGTTCTCTGCCTCATCTGTTTCACTGCAGTATACATTATTCCATCTTTCTCAGTCTCCCCCCAACCCCAATGTGAGTCCTATTTTACAACAGTGGCCCTATGCAGTATTTGTCCTTTTGTGACTGAGTTATTTCACTGAACACAATGTCCTCCAGGGTCACCCATTTTGTATAATATTTCATGAGTGCCTTGTTTTTCAATGCAGCATAGTATTCCATTGTGTGAATATATCAGAGCTTCTCTATCCATTCGTTTGTTGATGGGCACTTGGGTTGTTTCCAGCTCTTTGCTGCTGTGAACAAGGCTGCAATAAACATGGGTGTGCATATATCTGCTTAGGTGGCAGTTATGGTCTCTTTGGGGTACATGACCAGTAGTGGAATTTGTGGGTCAAATGGTATTTCTATTTCCAACTTTTTGAGAAAGTACCATATTGCCTTCCACAGTGGTTGCACCATTTTACACTCCCACCAACAGTGAATAAGGGTTCCAGTTTCTCCGCAACCTCGCCAGCATTTGTTGTTTGCTGCTCTGTTAAATTTTGCTATTCTTACTGGGATGAGATGATAGCTCATATTTGTTTTGATTTGCATCTCTTAGAACTAGGGATTTTGAACATTTCTTCATGTGCTTTTTGGCTATCTGAATGTCTTCTTTGGTGAAGTATCTGTTAATATCCTGTGCCCATTTTTCAGTTGGGTTATTTACCTTTATCTTGTTGTAGTGCAGAGTTTCTTTTTTACAAGAATATTTTAACAGTTTTTATTATGATTTAGCTTCTGGCAGAAATGAAGATGGAGAAAGATTTCTATCCTGTTGGGAGAGAAATTGCTGGAGTTGTATTAGAGGGTAAGTTTATATAGATGTAAGTACCTGCATTTATTTTCTAAGGTATAAGGATTTAAGTACTAGGTAATTGGTTTACCAGTACATAACAGTAACTATTCTTTCAGATATAAAATTTACATATAATGAAATGTACCTGTTTTTCTTTCTCATTAAAAATGGGATAGGGATTTAATTGGTGTTTTATAATTAATTGAAGAACTTACTGTTCAGTAACAATTTAGAGATTATATATTAAAATCCTTTATTTTATGTTCAATATGATGACCAGTCTTAACAGTAAACCAAAGTAGTTGAAATAACTTTTTTCTCTATTTATTAGATAGTATTCAAAAAGTGTATTTATCCTTACCGCGTATGTGAATGACTATATGGTAATGTAGATAAGACTATTTTCGTTTGTCTTTGGTTTTAATCTGTAATATGTTTAATACTCTTTCTGAGTGTAATCTTCTGATAAAATTAAATGTTTGTTACATTTTCACTATTTTTTTTCTTCCCCAACTGTAGAAAACTAAAAATAAGAAAGAAGTATCTTATTT